GCTTTTGTGGTTCCCGAGTTGAAAGTTGCGGACAAGTTGCTGCGGACACACACACACACACACGCAGGCAATCCCGTAACAATATGCTTTTTGTAATGCTGTTACATAGCACAAAGCGCATAAAAAGCGAGTGCATTTTGCGGTTCCTTGTCATGAGAGCTGTTTTTTAAAATTTGCACTGTCGTGGCATTTCCAGACCTTGACTCTTTAAAGATTAATTTAATGAAATCGAAACTGTACCTGCTGTCCGAGCCATGGCCCAGTACCGGAGCGTGTTGTTTTCATTGGTGTACCATTCAGAGCGACAGCACTGCTCAGCGAGGAAGAGACACTACTTGTGGGAGTTGCGCTACTTCCGCCAGCGCGATATTTCTCTTCACGACCCATCAAAATGTCATCTACCTGAAAAATCGCTAATCGCCAAGGTCAGCTTTAACTCGACGTAAACCAAAGTCTCAAAAAAATGCAAGTTCCGGAAGAAATATATCCAAAATAATCGCAATTTGCTGTTGGCATGTAGCTGCACAGAGCCATCAGAACTTGATAAAACGGTGCATTACATAATATCCTGCTCGAATAGGCTGTCAGGCAATCTCAAAACAGAGGGAGTCAAAAGGGCACTGGTTGACCCAAACAATATCTGCTATTAGGTATTCATTTTGTTTATTGCATGGCCAGGAAGGCAATGATCGGCCCTTTTTCTTCTTGACCCCTTCAAATCATCGACGATGCTGTAAAATTTGCACGGGCGGTTAGCAGCTCTGCGCAGCCAACAATCACGTGGATATCACGATTATTACTTTAGTCTCTACAGGTAGTCAACAAAATCAGCACTTGTTCAAGTTCCTCATCAAAAATTCGTTCCCCAAAAAACATGTTTTCGGAAAAAAACCTACAAGCACTATGAATGAATGTGCCTTGTGACCATCCAAATTAACCTGTCACCGGCAAAAGCCAATACTAATCTCTGAGACATCGAGTAATCATTAACAACCTGGCCTCAATATACCTAAGTGTTGTGGAAATTTTAAAGATACAAACAATGAATATCCCTGGCTAGAAGACTGGAAGCGGATGGGTGCCTGAAATTGTCTATGTGTTAACATATGCAGTTTGTTTGACGTTGCTGTCCCACCACTGTGGAGAGGAACACAATCGAATTTTGATAATTAATGAAAACACTGAAAGTGCCATTTAAATCTCCCAAATTAGCAAGCCTGTATGTGTACAGTGACTTGGTAGCTAGTGCGTGTTTCATTCCTGAGCTGCAAACACGGACGGCAGAATCGGTGCGAAATGAGGTGGGAATCATCAGTACGGTGCTCCATTTCGTTATGTTCAAAAGAACATGTTGATTACCTGAGGGAGATAAAAAAGAAGGAAATAAGGATGAGTGCAACACGGAATTCTGGACTCATTAGCAAAGTGGTACTTCATTAGTTCTGACTATTATAATGTCTGTGTCCAACAAAAATGATGGGTAAAACAACAAAAAAGCACCTCGCTAGCTCTGACAAGCATAATGTTCGTGTTCAAAAACGATGATGGACAGGCCATTTCCTGCATTTTTCGCTTCTCATCAATGGTCGCCATGCGTTTCCATAATTGAGGGAATCGTTTGTAGAGCGATCCACGATGATATCGCATATATTGCCCAACCTGAACAATCAAAATGCTTAAACACTTGTTGAAGCATCCATATTTCATCCTGTATGAAAAATATGGTATTCAAAAGCAGCCCAAAATGTAGCATATTTATATTTTGTTGCTTAATAACTCACAATCGTAACGCCAGATTTTTCATTTTAAAAAAATCTCAGGCTACTTTTTTAGAAACAATAGAAAAAAAATTGAAGACAAGCTCTAAATTTGCATGTCTGGACTTTAGTCTTATACTTCTTGCAAATTTGTGTGGACAAAAAAAAACAGTAACAAGGTTAACCACGTCAAAAATAACATGAGGTCAAAAACTGAGCTGCAAATGAGTTAAGAATACGGGATTTTAACACTTGAACTATTATAGAATAAGGAATTAAGTTTGTAAATTTCCAGCTCATAAAACTTTGAAAAAGTTGATGTACTGCGGTCCTAGACCAAGTATGAACGATGTAAAGGTAACGTAAACAAGAAAAAATTGGGCCTCTTCACTTGGCAAAAATGAGAGACAACAGATGGACAAAGCAGATTACTGGATGGTAATTGATCAGTATAAAAGGAAGGCCGTTGCGGCACAGAAGCATCCTTAAATGCCTATATTACTTGGATGAGAGATGTCCAAAACAGAGAAGAATGGAGAAGTTGTCAGAAGCACCAGTGGCGAGAAGAAATGCGGCAGCGAAAAAACAGCTAAACTAAGAATCAGTATTAAGGGGAATTGTAACTCTAAGAACAAAAGGAGGGAATGAAGATGGCGGGGCATGGGAAAATAATATAAGTTTTGTGACTCAAAGAACTGAAGAAGACAAGGAAAAGAGAAAACTGTGGAGCTAAGGACATGTAATGAGAGGTCCGTAAACATGCGTGTGACACATGTCAAAAGGATTAATAATATGCAGAACTATTCTGGCTGTATTTCATCCCTTATCTGTAAACACAGACAGAGAGCTGATGCGGATAGGAGTGGGAATCATCAGTACAGTCAACCATTCACCGTTTGTTGAATCGAATGTACTAAACAGCAAAAAAAGAGGAACAAAGGAACAAAGGAGAAGAGACAGTGTAGAGTTTAATTAGATTTAAAATAAAGGTCATAGGCAAATGAAGGAGGATTAAAGGACCTTTTTCAACTCAAAAATGCAGAAGAGGGGGGAGGATGAGAGATCGGGGACGGCGTCCTACGTAGCAATCAAGACAAATCCGAAATGTCGAATCAAAATTTGCCTATTCCAACAACGTACACTTATTGGAAAGAACTGTATTTACTCCCGCAACTTGCTGTAACCTGCTTTTTCGTACATGAGGATATGTACTACCAACGGAGTGGTGCAGTGAAATAACACTTCAAATCGTACAGTGGGCCGAAGGCTTCATACCACTGGTGGAACAACCAATCCCTCTACGATTCGTTCATTCGTTTCGATGGTAAATTGGTACTGACATATGCCATGGAGTTAAATTCGCCATCAGCTTGCTTGTAAGCAAGTGTTTTGGAAGTTTTTGAAAAATTTTTAAAAAATGTAACTATGAAAGTTTGTTTTGGCACTGTAGGCCAGCCGATGAAAGGGACATAGTCGAATATTGTCAATTGTGGGAAAGCAGTGAGCGCTAATTCAGATACCCAGATAAGTGAGCCTGTATTTGCATTAGCTGTTGTCCTGTTTGTGTTTCATCCCTAAACTGTAAACACAGACGGCAGAGTTGGTGCGAAATGGGGTGGGAATCAGCAGTACAGTCAGCAGTACTCCGCCATGTTTTGAATGAATATGTGACTTTCCGATGGAAGATGAAGGAGGAAAGAAAGGATGTGGAGGTGACTGAAAGAAGGAGCCACCAAAATCCTTGCCAATGACTGACTACTCCTTGCATTTACTACCACTCGGACTACTCAAATTCCTCGGCTTCCCAGTGGGAGCGAATACGGTACGTACTTTTGGCTTTGCGGAAATGGACCAATTTTTTCGAAGCCCTGAAAACTAGTCCAATGGGTATTACCACAGACATACCTACCTCTGCTAACACGAGAAAACTTCACTCATATCTATTTCTTCCTGTCATCTGACTTGCAAATTAGACAAATGACTATTCAAAACATGACGTGTAGGCAACTGTACTGATGATTCCCACTGCTACCCGCATGCACTGTTCGGACTGTGTATACAGCTAAGGGATGAAACACAGACTACGTCATGTCTTCAAACACAGACATTCAAGTGAAATCCTTCTATTCTTCTATTTCTACATTCGCTCAAAAGGTATGAAAAAAAAGAATTGAAAACCTCGGCGCCAATGTAGTATCTTTCCCCAGTATCATCGATAACGAAGGCTTGTGGCCGTTCACCGAAACACTTGATCTTAGGCATCGCCACCGTCCAATGACCACTTAAGCTCACGCGCAACTGCAACTGAAAATACGTCATCACTTTTATAGAAAAAATTGATCACGCGGTAAATTCACAGGGCCTGCTTTTCCCTCCCTTCGATAATACTGCTCCACGCTAAAAACCCCGTCCAGCTTAGCGCCTCGATGAATAAATAAAACAACGCTCATCAGACTAGCCGGTGTGATAAAGCATTTTGTGCAATTCAGCCCATCGAACGATTGCCTATTAATGATTTTCACTTCATTGTACTTTATGCAAAAACAGTTCGAACATTTGAAAATAGTCAAAAATTTCACGCACCTGCGCATGAAAGCTGAATTTTAAACCTTGAAGGGTAAATATGCTTCCATGATCGCCGAGTTAATAGTTTACCCGCTAAAATTTTCATGAGGCCGTAAGTGATACCCGAGAGCGTGGGAACGCTGAATTTGAATCTGCGAGATCATCCGTGGGCAAGGAGTCACACCCCTAAAATTTCAGCTTCCTAGACTTCGTGATTCCCGAAATAATAATTTACCCGTCGAAATCTTTCACGGGACCGCACCTGTTACCCGCGGGCAGGAGAAAGCTGAATTTAAATTTTCTGGGTAGCACATGGGCGGGGGACATGACCACAAAATTTCAGCCTTCTAGCTTCCGTGGTTCCCATGATAATAATTTTACCCGCCCAAACTTTTACGGGGCCATACATGTTACCCGCTGATACGGGGAAGCTGAATTTAAATTTGCGGGGTCACACGTCGGTGGGGAACGTTCGCCTAAATTTTCAGCTTCCTAGCTTTTGTGGTTCCCGAGTTGAAAGTTGTGGACAAATTGCTGCGGACATACACACACACACACACAGACAACCCCCTGACAATATGCGTTTTGTACTGCTGTTACACAGCACAAA